TATGAACAATTGAAAATTCAATAAAAAATAACGCAAGAAATACCGCAAGACTTTTTCGACAAACTATAATTTTTGTTGACTGAACTTGCTGCTATCCAAAGCCGGTTTTCGGCATATATGTCCTTTGTTGTTTGCTTTGTTATTTGGTATTGTCACTTATTATTACCTTTTCGGTTTTTATTACCGCACTTCCTAACAGGTTAAAATTTATTATTATTATATTTTTTCGAAATCTTAATTATTTTTATTTATTTTTTTCTTTATTTAGCCAAAGTGCCTTTCTTTATGGCTCGAAGGACTATGTACAAAACTCACCTTCTCACACACACTTCCTTTTAAAAACAAAAAATGCACTAAATTCCAAAGAATCACTATAAACATTTTATTTCTTTCGAAATTCACTTAAGAATTGTTCTTACAAAATGTGTTTTAGAATTTAGGTTTAAAAGTTATATATATTACATATACAAAATAATGAAGTTATGGTAAATTAAAACAGTAATTTTAAAAACGTTAAATATACAAAGGCGGGTAACTGCGAAAGGGAACCGGGATGTTGCGATGCTGCGAAAAGCGGAGGTGTATATCGATCGACGTCGTATCGACAAAAGGTGTGCGAGTTCCTTTATTTYCTCTTTTGTTTTAATTAGAATGCTGGATGGTGTCATCGCTTTTTGGTTATTGCGCGTGTATTTGTTAATGTGTAGTTCTCTCTCTTCTTTGGATTCGGTGTGGTGAACTGATKTAAATGTGATGTGACGTCGCTACTCATTTAGCCATCTTCATTTAAGTTGTGTTTGATCGCAGGAATACCAGGGTCTTTATGAATATTTTCGCTACGCATATACTATGGGATCACGTGATTATTCCAGGCATTTTGATTGAAACCTTTGTAATATGTCAATATTAGTTGCATGGGTCGTACCCCACATTCATTCACATTTATACGCCAGTTCGCTAGCCATTCTTTGACAGAACTTAAATGCTTCGTTAATATTCTTGATGCTAAAATATGGCATTTATTACGGCTCAAAATAGCTGTGTCAAAATTTGAAGTTAATACATTATTACCTGTGGAAGATCTGCTGTATACCTATGTAAATGATGTTAAGTGTTGGGATTAAAACACTGCTCTGGGGTACACCAGCCCTTATCTGTCATTCATCAGATATGAAATTTCCCACTTTTACCATAAATTTTCRTTAGAATTCTATTTACTTGTTCTATTGTGCCATGCTTCGCACGAAAACCKAATTGATGCATTGGTATTTTATTATTTTCATGGAGGAAAGGATACATCTTTGATAGTAGTATTTCTTCTTTTGAAAGACAGGGTAGAATACTGATTGGTCTGTATGAATACGGCTGTGTTCAGTCTTTCCCAGGTTTATCTATCAAGATAATCTGCGACTTTTTCCATGAAATTGGATAATATCCTAAACTAAGAATTGCATTGAAGAGCAAAGAGAGCAATAATTGGTGACTCAATAAGCATTTTTAGGGAAATATTATCATGTCCCGGAGACTGTTGTGGATTAAGTTCTTTGATGATACCAATAATTTCAGAAGGTGAAGTCTTAAGAGACTCGAGCAACTCTTCAGCTATGTTGGGTAAGATTGACAGCTTAAAGTTGTTCTTTGGAAAATTGGGTTGAAATACCTTTTCTATTGATTTGCAAAACAAATAGCCTTTTGCTCGTCTCTTCGGTCCCAATTTCCACCCACGTTTCGTATAGGCATGTTGGAGTCAGTTGGTGGCTTCATGGCCTTTTGGCTTTCCAAAAGGAATTTTGCTTGTTTGAATTTGGACTCAGCCTCTTTATATACATTTCGGTGTTCAATTCTTCCTCACGTTTAAGMCCTTTTTTTAATTTACGTACAGTAGATTTTAATTRAAGCTGAGTGGAAGGGGAACGATTTATCTGCCATTCACGTCTTGCACGCCTTTTTTCATGTATGTACAAGCATTTCTATTTCTCTATTAGAGATTTTCTGAAACCAAGCGGATTATAGCTTTTGTTTGGTGTTGCTAGGACAGCTGCGCTGGTTAGTATATCATTGACTTCTCTTATGCTTCCGTCAATATCTCTTCCTGTATTTATCTTGTACTCAATATCTATGTGGCTACTGACGTGTTTTTATATTTTAGCCAATTCGTTTTATAAGAAATTAGACCCTTTTTTTGGATTAACGAATATGGGTTGTTCACACAATTATATTAGTACAAGAGAGTGATTAGAACATAGAGGAKTACATGTATCATCTGTTATGTGCGATTTATCTATATTTTTGATTAAAGCAAAATCAATTAAATCTGGTATTTTCTTACGATCACTAGGCCAATATGTCGGCTTACCAGCTTATTTCAAGGTTATTGTGCCTATTTATAACAATTTGATACAGCTGTCGTCCTTTTGGGTTATTAAGACGTGAGCCCCAGAATGTGTGTTTTGCGTTGTAATTTCCACCTGCTAGAAATCTTTGACCTTCTTCTTGATTGGCGTAGTCACCGCTTACGCGATTATAGCCGAGTTAACAACAGGGCGCTAGTCGTTTCTTCTTTTCGCTACGTGGCGCCAATTRGATATTCCAAGTGAAGCCAGGTCCTTCTCCACTTGGTCCTTCCAACGGAGTGGAGGTCTTC